AATACTAAATTAAACTTAAATACAAAATATATATATGGACTCATCTGCAAAAAGCATATTTCATACCTTCGTTTTCATTAATTACAGTAAAAACCCTATTTAAATATTTAGGTGCACTAAAATAAACGCAGAATCTTCTCAAGTGATAAACGGAAAAACGTATTCCATTTGCTTTTCTTATTTTTGGTTTTCATAAGAATCTTAAAAAAAGAAACGAGAGAGAGAGAGAGAGAGCGAAATATAAAATAATATATAAGCTGGACAGAGCTGGCGTATGCGATGCACGAGCTGACCCCAGGGAAACTCGACTCACACTCTGGCTACCTCAAGCCCAGCCCCAACCACTCCCACCCCCCGCAGCCTCTCTCGTTCTCTGTCTCCGGTCTCCTTGCTGCCTCTCTACCATCTGTTATGCCGTTTACATATTTACAAAACAGGCATTTAAATTTATTTAACATGGTACGTGAATAATGACCACCGACGCTGTTTGCTATGGTTGCCACGCCTCGCCCAGCTGCATGCCTGCTCCTAGGTCCTGTTGCCCATGTCCTGATTTTACCATGTGTGTGTGAGCGAGTGGGGGGGAGGGAATGCCTGGGCAGCCGTTACCCAGTTTTTTGGTGTCAGTGACAGGCGCATTCACATTCGCACTCGCACCACGTTGCTTGCTCGTTGGCCAGGAGCAGTCTATTAAATACTTTATTGCATTTGTCGCAGCCGTATTTCATGCTTTGTCATTTCCGCTGCATTTTCTTTGCGCTCTCTCCCAGTTTCACTTGGCCATTGTTCACTGTACTGCGAAAGGGTAGCATGTGCATATGCTATATGCTTGTAGCTCCCTGGCTGCCTGCCTGCCTGGCTGGCTGCCTGGTTGGCTCGTTGCGCGGTTTCTTCATTTGAATTCAGTACAAGGACGTCACCGAGAAGTCTTCCGAGTCTGCCAGAGTCCCGGAGTCTCTCACCCCCTCACTCCCTCACGCTTTTCCTCTTTTGGTTGACTCAACTCCTACTGCACAATGGCACAGTAACAATGCAGCCGGCAGCGAAATTAAATTCCAGTGCATAACCAAGGCGAGGGCCAGCCCGGCTCAGCCCAGCCAGCCAACAGTCGACAGCGTACAGGTAGAAATTCCCAATGCCACATGAACATTTCACCTATTAGACCCGCACAACACACACATACACACACACATGCTCAGAGTGAATTTGCCGCTTCAGCTGGCAGCTCCTTCGACATCGTCTCGTTCACGTTCTCGTCCTTCTCGTCAGCGTTGCAACTGATGCATAAAAATCATCATACTTGCAATTTAAACAACTGCAATCCATCTGCATCTTTAATTGGTCCCTTCCCACCTCTTCCCCCTCCTGCTACACCATGCCTCTCTCTCCTCTCTATCTCTCGCATTTCCTTTCATCTTGAGTCTTTCTCCATATGCCAACAATGCGGCGATTCTTTTAAATAATTCAACTATCTGGCAACCCTCCTCGCATTATTCCAATCATGCTACAAATAAATATTTTAACAGCAAATTTATGCATCGAAAAAAATAAGCATGCATTTGCCTTGAACTCCAGCTAAGGCCGGGCCTTGGGTCGCTATTTATTGTCTTAACTAATTGGTACACTTGCTGGAGGGGTCTAAAAGAGGGTATATTTGGTTTAATTAATCTGATGTGAGCATACTAAATGCATTTAGTCAAAATATTCGAGGCTCTTTCAATTGGAGAGCTACAATTAGAGGCATTCTGGCCTTAAAAGTAAAGATGGGTAACATATATAATTTATAGGAATTAGTAGACTACTCCGAGCCGAAAAAACGTAGCCAGAAAGTTGTCTAGATCATTTTATCTAGAAATCTTTCCCTTATGATAAGATAACTAGCATAAAATGCTCTCATACATAAGATATTTTACAGTTTGAAAGTATTTTAGGCTAAACTGAAATTTATGAGAATTGCATAGAGAGCCAACATATGCAGCTGGAGTAAAAGGCACAGGGTGATTAAAAATAAATCTGAGGGAACATAAGCAACCAAAATATAAAATTATTTATGATCATTCTCTATACAATAATAATGAATGATATCTACAACGTACGTATACTTTATATAAGCAGTCAATTAACAAACTAATCAATTAATGGACCACTTATCGTAAAGGCCTATGGCTTATATAAATGATCAATTAATCACTTATATAAAGAATAAATAATATGCCTATACATATAGAGTTTACGGTCATTTAACCACTTACATAAAACTTTCGTCTTTCATCAACTGTCAAAAAAATAAAAACGCTTATCGATGACATTCGCTCATAATTTCCAACAATCATAAGATACATATCCTCTTCAGCTATAAAATTTTACAGGGTATATCAGACTAATTCATGCGTCTTCACACCTTGCAGCTGAGCATTTTACTCGCCACCTAATAACAATAGATCTAAAAGACGTTAGCTGTCGTCGCATCTGGTTCGCGTTTAACTAGTTAGTTAGTGACAATCAGGTAACACACAGGTAACTGGGGCTAATTCAGGCAGCTTGGCTGTTATGCAAACGCTCGTTAGCTGCAGATGGTGTTGCACATGGTTAGGCAACAGATTGAGCTGCATCAGCTGATTGCCGATATTGGCCAAGAGGCGTAGGGCCCCGACAGACGAGGAACTCTCTGTCTAGACATGACGTAATGTCATTTAAGGTCGTTCCTCTGCCAATAAATCCAATCACCGCACTGCCAAGAAGAAGTAAAAGAAGAAGAGCGCTGAATACGGCGCCAACGACTGTGTTGACTTATCGAAGAGGAAATTAAAATTCAGACTTGATCGAAGCAGCGCGAACGAAGCTGGACTGCTCGACTGGGCGACAACTGCGGCGCACTGAGTTCATAGTTTTGGTCATAAAAAAAGGACAGCAGGAAGGAGCAGGAAGTACCCTGTAGTTGGCTATGAACTGTTAAGCAATAGGATGAATGCAGAACAGAATGCGATGTCCGGCAGGACATACCCTGTAATATGCAGTTATTTATTGTAGTAGCTATCTATTTCTGTGAGGACTCCACATAGCATTAAGAAATGAGATATTCTTTTTAAATATGTAATTCTTTAAATAATTATCAAGTTCAGGGTAGTATTGATGGAGTGTTTAAGCACTACCGGTATGAAAACTACAAAATTTAGATATTTAATGTACAAAATGTGTTGAGTTTTACAGATCTGACCTCTAGAAGTTGGATTCTTTTAGGAAGACAAAGGTTTTCCTATTTTATGATAAAAATAAGAAAAAATTTTTATTGACTTCAGCTAAGTTAGAGCTCTTACATAATCCATTTAATTTTTAAGTGAGTTAATATTTGATATTTACCTATTTGCCAATACACCTTTATATAATTTAACTAAATTGTGCATTTATCAATAATTCTCATTTTTTATATTTTCTAGAGATTCGCAGGGTATCTGTTGAGGATGGCTAGCCCACTTTTTTTTTATTTTATTTTTTTTTTGCTTAATTTTGTCTCATAAGTTGTTCAGTAACTATTATTCTTACAGGGTAACCATACTAATTTTAGTTATTCTTACAAATTTTTGTAGCATTTTCTACTTTCTATCTCCTCGAACATAAGCCTTAAAATAATCAAAATTCCCTTTAGACTTGAAGTCAATTTGCATTGTTATTACAGGGTATTCAAAATGAGGCATTCATTTATTTTGGCCTCGTTGTCATACGTAAATTATGTGCCCAGCTCTCGCAATTTATGGCATATGACAATAGTCAAGCGGCGATCCAAGCATAAATTTTGATTATAACCCGCAAACGCAGCTGCTGCTGCTGCTGCTGCTGCTGCTACTGTTGCAGCTGTTGCTCCTTTAGCTCCTTCAGCTCCTTCGGTTGCTGCTGCTGCTGTTTGCCAGCAAAATTGCGACCAAAGTTTGCAATCGTTGAAAAATCATCAACTGATTGATGACAAGGCGTTGGTCGCACTCCCTGTCTCTCTCTCTCTCTCTCTCTCTCTCTCTCTCTCTCTCTCTCTCTCTCTCTCTATCTCTATCTCTATCTCTCCCTCACTCTCTCTCTATCTCCCTCTCCCTCTCCCTCTCTGTCTGTCTGTGTGGGTGTAAGATATTTGCTTACCGAAGCCAGGCAACAGGACCTTCTCGAGACACGGCGATGACTTCGTCATCAACATTTTCGTTGTTTTTGTTGTTGTCATCAGAGTCGTTGTCGTCTGTCGATAAACACGTTCATCGCTCATTTCCATTTCCGTGCCGTCTGCCAATTAGTGCGCATTACCGTGTAATAACACACAAATTGTGCAAAAATTTTCGATTTTCAAACTCAACTGAACAACAATCAACAAATACAGTTCGACTTGACGAAAAATGCTGTGAAAACTAATTTTCTACAGTTGTTTTCCGCTCACCCCATTTCATCATTTCTTCTCCCTGCCCCTCTGCTAACCTTTTTTTTTTTTTGCAATGTTTGTTTGGCATTTGCTTTGCTGCGATTTCTTGATAATTTATGAATGACTGCAAATTGCTTTGGGCGCTGATTGAAAGCGACACGAAAAGTGGCGCAGTATAGCAGCGTAGCGCAGCTCAGCCACCTGTCGCCCCCCCCCCCCCCCCCCCCCCCCCCCCCCCCCCCCCCCCCCCCCCCCCCCCACCGTGTCGTTTCGACTCACCTTCAACTTCAACATTGTTGGAGCGGCCATGCAAACAGAAAATCTGCGAAGGTGTCGCTGGCGCATTGTTGTTGTTGCCATTGCCATTGCCATTGCCCGTTTCCACGTTCGGCTGCGCTGGTGTTGAGCCGTAATTATTTGAGCGCCTGCAATAGAAAGAGACAGCAATATAATAATAGTATACAGGCAACTGATCACACTTATACTCTACATTGTTTTCTTTGTTTATTTTTAGCATGAGAGGCGCAACTTACTACAGCGCAAAAGGAATAGAACAACAATAGAGAATTAAATCGGCTGCCGAGTACGGTACTTTTCCAACACAATGTGAACGCTTACTATGCACACACACACACACACACACACACTACTCTCTCCCACTCTCCAACAGCAAAGCGCGTAATGAGCAGCGGGAATATAAAAAACAAAGAGGGCGCGAGCATGAGTATAAGAGAGCGCGGCATGGGTGAGGGGAGTTTTTTTGTGATAGGTGCTAAAATGAAAACTGCAACGAAAAATTCAATTTGAAGTTTTGTTACTTAACCCAAACTACGGGCGACTACTTAATGCCACGCCTTCGCGCCCAACTTCATCACACATGTGCACGTCTGTCTGATGTGGCCGTTGATAAGTTTGCTGTATGTGGGAGTGTGTATGTGTGTGTGTGTGTGCTCGCGTAATTTTTACTACGAAAAGTGCAAATGGCGCTAAACTACTTGCTCTGCAAGTTTGCAACGCAATTGCCGCAGCAACAAAAAGGAGTAGAAAGAATCAGCACCAGTGCAAATGAAAATAAAAAATAAAAAAACACTGAAGTGAAGTGAAGTGAGTATTTTCTTAGCACCTACAGCGACTACTACTACTACTACAGCTGCAACTCTTCTACTATAAGTCTCGCTCTTTGGCAAGCGAACTTTTTCGAGGCTTTTTCACACCTCTGACAGTTGTCGAGGATCCCACGGTCGGGCGCTTTTACGGCTATTTAACAAATCAGCAGCTCATTTGGCGACTTTGCTGCTCTTTATGTTAATTTGCTAAGATTTTCTACTTGAATTTTTCCCTCGCTTAATGCAAAAACTCTTGCAGCAAAAACTTTTCTGCTGCTGCCGAGACCTCCATCCAGCCGCCTGCATCCCTTCGAAAACTTACGTCACAATCGGCGTGCCTTCGCTCTTCGACATTATTATAGAATAACAAAATGCGCACGAAATACAAACAGCAAAAGCGAAGAAGAAGAAGAAACAACACACAAAAACAACTTGAAACTCAACTTCACAATGGAAGCGCTCTCAATCAACTGTCGTAGTTACTTATAGATCAACTGGATATTTCGAAAGCGAAGCTGCAAAGACACAGCCAGAGATCAGCGGCGATAAGACTGTAAGCAAATAACAGATAAGTGACGGACAGCGTGATAAGAGTGACAGTCTAAAATATGAAAAAAAAAAGACAAAGCTCAGTAACTGTACAAGTATGCATTGAGAAAGCCGTGTGCATACCTAAGCATATAAACACGCACGCACACATATGACTAAAAAGAGCGGATGGGGCGCAAAGGAGATACGAGAGAGCTATCTTCAATAAAGTCAAAGCACACGGTTTGCACATCACTTCTTCTGCGATAGTAACGTGCGCTATGCCCCGTTGACGTTTTCGTACCACGGTTGAAGATTCTGCGAGTGTAATTGAGCTTTGAATGGAATGCAAGTTGGCGCCTCACTGGTGTAAGCGAGATGGCACTTGTTTGCATCGCTTATAAGAAACGGGAAAGGAACTGTGAGTGACACAGTGTAAATCAAATAAAAATATTTGAATTAAATTCTAATTGGAGCCAAAGTTGTGCAAGCGGGACAGCCATATAGCACGGACTGCTTGCACGACCACCAGCAATCAAACTAGATACGTGCAAGCAGTGTACCACTGCTTACTTTACTTACTCTTATTGCCATACCGCTGGAATTGAACAGCTAAACAATATTTTTCCAATCACTTTTAACAGTGGTCAGTAAAGCTATATTTCTTAGATATCAACAACTTATATTATCGACTTTTGTTTGATAAAGTTTTCGGAACAATTTAAGTGCACAAACAGTACGGCGGCAGCTAAGCGCGCCTGTAGCTCCTGTTGACTGAAATCGTGCGCCCACTCGACGCGACCCCAAAATTTCAGCTGATATTCTTCTTCAAGACGCGAAAGAGCAACCGCTCGCTCCACTGTAATCTTTTGCTCAATGACAGCGCAGGCTAGCACAATAGATTTCAACGTGTCCACAGCGAAAATGTAGCCTAAAAACAATAATTGTTATTAAAAACAATACAGAGACTCAAAAAATTTATAGTTCTACCATGGAGCGTTTCCAAGTTGTACGAGTTAAAATGCTTGGCTATTTTCATTTTATCCTCGTCGCTGACTTGTGGTGGTGTTATGTCCATCGTTTTCTTCAGATTCGTTTCGAAACGCTGATTAAACCAATCGATAACGGGATCCCATTCATTTTGCTGCAGTTCCTGCAAATCCTTTTCATTCTGCGCGCGAAAATTTAATGGAATTATAGAAATTTATCGATCGGCAATTGAATAGCTTACATCGTATTGGAAGAGCACCGTGTCAGTGGCTATGAAATTTAGCAGATAATTCACCATATCGGGTTTCGTCAGCTTATTGGGATTGTCAATAGCCGTAAAACAAAGGGCTGAAATGTGCATGCGAGACCGTTCGATATGTTCCTTCTGGGCATCGAATTCGGTGGCCACAGCAATGGCTAACGGTTCACTCTTCACCGTAAACAATGTGCCGTTGGGTGTCTTCAGCTTGCGATGATCCAATGTCACCTCATATCCAGAGTCTGTGCTCAGCACATTTGTGGTCTTATAGAATCGCTTCGGTGGTGCGGCTATTGGAAGAATAAGAGATATCGATATCATTGGTTTCTCTTTTTATTTTTTATTTGTTTTTGTTGCCGGCTGTTATGAAATCTATCCCATTGTTGTTGATTTCTGTCTCTCGCTCTCTCTTCACTCACCATATTGACGTATTGCTGTTAGGGCGGGTGTTTGCCATTTAATACCGTTGCCTACACGCAGCAAGCGTTTTGTATTTGTTACTAACTGTTTATTCATTTTAATTTAACAAAATACTTTGAGCTAATCACAATGTGCACAAGTGCTGCAGTGTGACTATATTTAGGTATGCAATAAAATACCATAGTCAAAAATACTAATAAATACCGACTAATCGTGTAATATCGATTAGAATACATCTGAGCGCGGGTTTAAAGCATAGTTAAATAATGGATATAATCATTCTTAGTTTAATAACAGAAAGAAAAATATATTTATTATATTTTCATACATATTTATAATTCACATAATATGCATAGATTCCTACTATTATTACAAAAATTAAAATATTTATAACTCATATGATTTCCTTAATTCCTTAATTTTAAATTTTCCAACTTTTTTTCCTTAAACAGCTGAATGATAGAGGAAAATCCGAATCGGAGAATCGGAGATCGAAATAAAAATACATAATTAAAGCTAAAATACACTTCATTCCTTAAACTTGAACATAGTTAGTTGTCAATAAGGACAACTTTCAGATTCACTTAATACCACGCGTGTCCAGGTAGGCCATCCACGTCTCCTGCTGATGCAGCCAGAAGTCGAATGTTTGCTCCAGCTGCTGATACTCGCGTTCCTTCAAGGCCAAATCCGCCAGATGGGCATCCCGCTGCTCGGCTAGCATCTCGTTTTCTTTGCGCAATCTCTCGATCTGGGCCAAAGTTATTTGACCAGTGCGGGGCATTATGCTACGACGACGCAAACGACGCACCGAGGGTTGGCTAAACTCCGAAACAGGCGATGGCTGTGGCTGCGATTGCGGTTCCAGCGTGCGATTGGCGGGCATTAGTGGTGAACGTTTCTCCGTTGGTATGGACTGCGCTGGCTGCAGGTGCTCCATTTCGGCCTTCAGTTCAGTCTTTATTTGTTGCTTGGGCGAGTCCAGCATTTGGTGCAGCTCCGCCTTCACCTGTGGCGTTGACGCTTGATCCTCATAGAAGGGGCAGCTGTTCGGATCCATTTCGAATTTCATCGTGCGGCAATCGTGACGATTGAAGCGAGGTAAATTAGGAACTTCCCTGCGTATTTTCTCTTCTAAATCCTCAATGAATTTGCGCTCCGTTGTAATGGGCGGCGTGGTACCTGCCGCTGCTGCTGGCTGGAAAAGGCAGTCGACGAGCTGATACAAACGCCAATCCGATTTGTACTGTGGATCGCTCTCATAGCGACTGCGCTCGACTCTATAATGGATGGGGCGATTAACTTCAGGACTCTCTTTCCGTTTTGATCAAATCTTCTATATTTACTCACAAATACTTGTTGCGGTAGCTGCTAATACGTCGTCGCACTTCCTGCTTGTTCAGCCTTATGCGATGCTGTTGTAATCCAAAGGCAATCTCCCGAAATATTACCAGATTCTCCGTGTACGAAGTTATTTCGTGCAAATGCTCGCGCCACAATTTCACAATCATCGCCTCCTCATAGGACGTATAATAGCGCAGCCGCATGTGCTTGGGGCCACGCTTATTGCTCTTCGACTCATTCTCCGGATCGCTCATGTCGCTCAACTTAAGTAATTCTCATGCGGGTTTTTTTGTATTTTGTTTCGCAAGTACATTTGTTTCAGATGTTGCCCATGTCTATTAGGGATGTGCAATGGTTCCGGTGGAGTAAAGATGTGACAAGTGCAGACTATCGATATATCAGATTGAAGTTATTTTATTTCCTATATTTTGTATATAAAATTTTTTACTTTTCATTATGCATATGAAAATGTGTTTCATTTTCCTAATTAATGAAATTTCTATTTCACTCATTCATATTACTTAAATAATTTATTTTTATTTATCATACCACTTTTATTCGCAATGTATTTTACTTTCAGTATGTTAATATTTTTTCTGGGATTTTATAGCTTCGTAGTAAAAGGTCACACTCGTATATGTACATTGAATTGTTATTGATGGGAGATTATCGATATATAATAAATGATTAATATATATTTACGATTTATTTAATGAATACTTATCAAAAAATACTTTATTTCCTCTATGAGTTAAATAAAAGATTTTCAACTTTTTTTAACTTCGGCAAATCTAAAAGCAATCGAACGTATACCTATCGACATTTTTTGCATATGCGAGTCGATAGATGCAGCCATCCCTAGTTGTTGATTTTCTATGCGAAAAAGTGAAGCTGGTGTGTAATAAATGTGGCCCAACACTTTAGAAATGGATTAAGGAAATGCAGCGCATTGATAACTATTAACTGTTTCGATAGTAATTCGAAAAAGGATAAAAGTCAAGCCTAGTGCTCGCATGGACTACGAAAATTTGTCTGTGAATCTAGGCGGAGGGAGCGCTGCGGCCGGCGCTGGAAATGCGAACGTGATTGCGAACACAAATCCGAATCTAAATCCGAACGTCGCTGACGTCGAACCGGAGCCCACAATGTGCGGCAACCAGGAGCAGTTGGAGGTGAAGTCCAAAGAGAAGGCGCGTCGCTATTGGACGCCCAGCGAGGAGGAGCGGCTCTATGAGATCTGGGGCCGGGACAATTGGCGTCTCACACGCACCGGTAAAAATACCGTTTATTTTGGCCAGTGGTCCGAAGAGTTGCGCGAACGCTTCGCCGTGGACGTAAAGCCAGAGGAAATACAAATGAAGGTTAATCAGACAAGAGCTAAATTTCGGTAGGTTTTATATCATTGGATTTGTATTGATTTAACTGTAAATCGGTAAATTCTTTTACCTTTCAGTCAGGTGAAAAAACAGCTGCAAACGGATCCATCGAGTTTCCCCTTGCGCTGGAAAAAATATGATTTAATCAATCGCATATTGAAAAACTTACACAGGCCCAAAAATGCAGAGCCCTTGCCACCAGAGGTGTTACTCAACAATCGAGATGTGTCGCCGCCACGCGACGACGAGCAACAGCAACAGCAACAGCAGCAACAGCAACAGCGGCAACAGCAGCAGCAGCAGCAACAACAACAACAACAACAACAGCAGCAAACACACCCGCAGCAACAGTCGGTGCTTAATTTAACAGCTGAGCCAACGGCCAATAATTATTACAGCAACAACAATAGCAACAGCAGCAGTAACAATATCAACAACAACAATAGCAACAGTAACAACAACAATTCAATGAGCTTCAATACGGAACTGTTTACGGATCAGTATGATGATATCAAACAGGAATACGACGATGAGGACTATCGCTCAATGCCATTTCAAGAGCGAATGCAACAGTATTCACCAGCGGAGCCCGCACAGCTACTGGAGCTGCAAACGCCGCAGCAACTGCAGCAGCAGCAGCAGCAGCAGCAACAACAACAACAACAACAACAACAACATCAACAGCAGCAGCAGCAACAATTTCAGTCTGGCTATGAGCCAGCCAGCTATGCGAGCGGCTACAACAACAGCAACAGCAACAATAGCGCCCCAACATCCAGTATCAATCATCAGGCTATTACAGCGGTTGCCTACATCAACAGCACCAACAACACCATCAGCGTGGCAACAAACAGCAGCAATGGCGCACACATGCAGCCGCCAGCACTGACAGCTGCCAGCAGCAACAGCAACAACAGCAACAGCAACAGCAATGCTGTGGCTACGCCAGTACCGACGCCACGCAAGCGAGGGCGACCCTTTGGCTCCAGCAATCCGCCGGCGGCCGACTCATTGGAGTCCATGTACATGGAGGAAGTACGTCGTAAGAATCAATTGCTAGCAGAGCAAACGAAGATCTCGCGACAACGCTTGGAGCTGGAGGAGCGCAAGCTGGAGCTGCTGCAGACGTTCTTCCCCAAGTGCCTGGAGCAGCAGGCGCATATCTTGGCGCGTGTCATGCAATTGCCGCACCTGCAGCAGCAACAGCAGCAACCGCAGCCGCAACCGCCGCCACAGTAAAAACGCGACGAAGCAATGGAAAGAAAGAAATCTTTTAATTCAATATAGCCCGAGCCCCGGTAGCGTTCTATGTTTACCACTTAAACTAGTTGTCATAAGTCAAAAAAATAAAATA